TCCTCACTCACCTTATAGATGGCAGGCTTCATGGCATCTGTGAGGGAAGAAGGGTGCCGCTGACGCTCGGAGGATGGAGGTCCTTATCAGACCTGCTCTCAGAGCCCCCCACCCCTTCAAGGCTGACCTTCCCTATGCGCTCATCTGTCTACATCACTTCTGAAACCTATCTCCATCTTCCCTGGGTTTTTCCTCCTTGCGTAGTCAGCAGCCCTCCCCCTACTGGCATGGCTGGCCCCTCCTCCTGCTCTCTTCTCACCCCCTCTCACCTTTCCACAACACTACACAGCTGCTTGTCCTTCCTCTCTCCTGCATTAGCCACTTTCTCCCTACCGGCACTCGCAGGGTCACATGTAAGTACACTCTACTGTTTCCTGGCAAATAAACGAACGACCAGCACCCTGCCTTAGCCCTGTGCTCTTCAGCCACCACCCTCATTTGTTCCCCTCAGCCAAACTCCATGAGAGAAATAGCTACACATCTGTCTTCACTTCCTCACCTTCCATTCCCTCTTCAACCCATTCCTCCACCAGACCACCAATTGTGGGATCTCTCAGGGCTCAAACGTGGGTGCCCTCCTCTTTAAATACTCAGTACTGTTGAAAAACAAATAGATTCAACAATAGCAACTGCCTTTAGACCCCTTCCTCTCATGCTCATCTTCAGCACTATGTTCTCCCCCTCTCTTCACAACAGAGACTGTTTATGTGTCCGTGTGGTGGTGAGGTAGGGACAGGCTGAGGACGGGAACTGGGGAAAGAAGAATATGGGGCGATGACTCGCTCCACCAGCCCATTCAGCAACTCTGTACAGCCAATGACCTGGGCAGCAGGCCTGAGAGTGCTGGCGAACAGGGGAGAGGGGCGGGAAAGTACCGAAAAGACGCAGCCACAGACTGAAGAGCTACAACTTGTGGGCTAAAGAGTGGTCCAAAGCAAAGCATGTGAGTTCAGACTGGGAGGGGCCAAGTTGGGCTGTGTTCCATGAGAACAGGCCTAGAGGGATTTCGGGGAGACAGACAGGACCTGCTAGGCTCTGGCCACGACAGCCCACTCCCCTGCTGTGCTACTCACCTGGGGGCTGCTGAGCCAGCAGGGCGTCAGGGTGGGGCAGACTGAACAGCAGCACCTTCCCGTTTGAGCAGGCAAGAGCTAAGAGACCCAACCGGGGCAGGAGAGGTGCCTAGAGGGGGAGAACAGATCTCGCCTGAGGCTTGTGGCCCTCGGGCATCTCTTAGAAAACTTCAAGGTTCTGGCCCCTAAAAATGATTTGGAGGTACTGGCAAACTCCATCGGCCATGCACCACACCCTCCTCCAGCCTTGGGACTACCCAGGGTCGCCTGGCCCTAGCGCCCAGCCCAGGGCCATCCCACGGGCCATCCCACAACGCCATGGGAGGTACCTTGCGAGGGGTGCTTGGAAGTTCCCATGCCCCACTGGGGCAGAACTTGAGGTCCCAGATGCAGCCATGGTCACAAGCAATCCCATAAACAAAATGGGCCCTGGTGCCAGGACTGAGGAGAGAAAGCACATAGGGAGAATGGGCAGGGGAAGGGGCCGAGGGCTGCGAGCGCCTGTGCTCCCCTCAGCTCAACTCAATCCCATCTTTGTCTGAACTCAACCCGTGCTTCCCCTCACACAGCTCGTCCTCCTCTCCTCCCCAGCACCTCCCACAGCAGTGTCCCAGCCCCACCTCACCAGCTTTCTGGCTGCAATGTCCCAAGGTCCCAGAGCTGGAGCAGCCCAGGGCCTGAATGAAGCTGGCTCAGTGGGTGCGTCTCGTTCATGTCAGGGCTGGAGAAAAGGGCCACATACTGCGAGGCCGCTGCCCCCTCTGGCACTGGACACCAGTCCAGAGCCCAGAGGGGTCCCCCGGTGAAGAAAGATAAATCCCCACGCTCTGGGTGTGCTGTGATTGAGCTAAATCTGGAGAAAAATCAGATGGCAAGAAGAAAGGAGTCAGTGAGAGGCAATGAGGACTTCGGTAGGCAGAAGGGTAACTTAGCAATGCTACATCCAGACCAGGACTGGTATTCAGCTGTAACAAGAAGTGAATTGTCTCAGTCATGAAAAGACGTGGAGGAACCTTTCACACCTATCACTAAGAGAAAGAAGTCAATGTGAAAGGGCAGCATACTGTGTGATTCCAGCTGCCTGACTTTCTGGGAGACTGAGCTCAGTGGGGAAGGTCAGTGGCTGGTGCAGGGGAGAGGGGATGATCAGGGAGAACACAGAGGAGCTTGAGAGTGGAAATAATCTGCGAGGCTCTGTGAGGACGCGTGTGTGTGTTCACACATGCACGAATAAGACGCAATGCACAGTGGATTTGGGTGAGAGCGTGTCGATGGCTCCTGGGCTGTAAGGAGTGCACAGTGCAGTGGCAGCTGCCAGAGGAAACACTGCGGACCTCTGTACTCTCCTTAGTTTTGTTATGAACCTTAAAATGCTCTATAAAAACAGTCTTAAAAAAGCAAGCAAACAGGTGACGAGGACAGAACAGGCGCTCTCCGCAGAGCCGACTGGCTTATGGGAAGAGGAGAACAGCTCTTAGCTCCCCCGGGCTAGCGCCAGGTCGCCTTCCAAGCAGTAAGCAGTGCCTTCCAGCTTACCAGTGTTCTCCCTCAGGCCAGTCTGTCCAGGCCAGCCTGAGCAAATGTGACCAGACAACTGGTTCGATCCTCAACCTCCCCAGCTTCCCTCTGTCTGACCAGCAGTTAGGAGAACAGCAAGTCAGAGGGGATTTCCAGATCCTGCCCTGACCCCTACCCTTGGGGCCAAGTGAAGCAGCCCCAGGGGAAGGACAGAGCCAATCTGCTGTCTCTCTTAACATTCATTCTTCCTGTTGTCTCCCAGAGCCAGAATAAAGCAGTCTTCACCTGTTTATCCTGTAGAGCGTACCATCTTCAGGAAGCCCTTCACGTTGCACAGAAAAGAGTGGAGATTTTTCCTCTTGGGGCAGGTAGGGCGCTGCCTCCCTGGAGAGCGCAAAGGAAATGGCCTGAACTTGAAGACTTTCACCCAGCCCAGTACTCCCATTATAAATCTAGAGACCCCTCTGTCACCTTTCCGTCCCCAAGGGTGACACCTCCCCGAAGTCCCCCAGAGCTGCTTCGATGTCTCTTCAACTTACAGTTCAGATAACAACTGCCACTTCCAGGCTAAAGGAATCCATTCTGCAAACTCCCAGTATGAATGCTTCTGTTCTCGGCTAAGAAACAGAAGCAGCATTAATGAAGATGAGGTTCTAGAATAGCGCAGTGCCGTGCACAGGGCACAAGCTGCCGGGCACCTGAAATGTGACTAGTGCCTCGTTTATTTTTAAGGTTGATGTTGGATTTTTAATCCTTTGTTTTTAAAAAAGGTTTATTTTATTTATGCACACAAGAACTGGGGTACAGGCCAGAGTTGCAGGGGTGAGAGGCTTCACCAGAAACAGAGTGGGGAGCAGAACAGGCAGATCCACTGAAATATACTGCTGAGGGGAGCAGCGGGTGGGTCAGGAGAGGTCTGCTGCGCCTTGTGGGTCAGCTCCCCGGGTGGGGATCAAACTTGTGCTACAGTGGCTGCAGGCAGCTTCACAGTGCTGAGACTTAACCCCTTACACCACCAGGGAGGCCCTAACAATTTAAATTTAAATGGCTGCAGGTGGCTATAGCTACCACATCAGACAGCGCAGTTCCTGCTTCTGGAGCAGCGTCTTCTCTGAACGCTGGCACCGTTTGCCCCTGGGAGTGCTCCTCTCTGTCCTGAGATCTCCCCATCCACCCCCACTGAGCCCTTCCCAAGTCTCACAGGTCCTTGGTGAGATGAAAGCACTTCCAAACTGGAGCCATGATGTGATTTGGCAAGCCATTGAGAGCCATTCCCCGGCAGTGTGGTTTCTGCTTCTAGGCGTCAAATGGAAGGATGTGTGAGTGAGAGAATTTGACAGGCTGAAGAAAGTCCCCAAGAGACATCTTTCCCAGCTCTTGCTTTTCTTGGCACTACTTCCCCTCCAACCTCTGCCCTTCAGAGGGCATCTCCAAAAATTTACACTTCAGCTACTACAGTGACTTCTCCACCTTTCTACATCAAAACTGCAAAATGTGTTTTCTATTTTGGGACCGTCTCTGTTGATGCGCACAGCATCTGATTCAGAGGATTCCCATGTGTCTCTTGAAATGCCTGTCCGATGGGGGAGGCGCTCCTTCCTCCCACCTCTTCATGTCCCTGGTTATCCTCTGGTTGTGAGGGTACACCTCTGCCTTCCTCCCAACGTCCTCTAAGGTTTGCCCCAGTAACCTCACCCCATGTCCCATGGCTTCGGCTACTACTGTTATGTCTCACTATCAAGTTTACATCTTAGTAAATGTTAAGCTTGACTCAGCTCTAACTTTTTGACAAATTCTAGACCCCTACATTATGGTGCTGAGCCATATTAGAGCCTAAAGCAAGGAGAAAAGAATCAATAAAAGAGTTCCTCTCTTTATTTAAAATGTTATCTGGTTCATCGTAGATCTGTTGCATTAATTCTGACTTCACCCAATGTTACATCACAATATTTACCTTGATCACTGGGTGACCCCCCAACTACTATACTCGAGACAAGTCAGGCCCTGGCATGCAGAGACCTTCTCAGGATGGCTGATCACCCGTCTAAGCTAGACAACGCCTGCTGCTTTCTTTAACTCTCAAGGGCTGCTAATTCTTTACTGCATCACTGAAACCTATCGCCACCCCCCTCCCTTCGTTGCTCAACTCAGACCCTCACTATCTCTGCCAAGAACACTGAGGCTGTCTTCTCACTTCAACTACAATTCAACCTGTTTTCCTAACTGATCAGGTTATTTTTCCACTAGGAATTTTTCCTTGAGTTTTCTATTTGGGATGAAGAAATTTCAGAAATGGAAACTTGTAGAAGATTGTGGATATGTAAGCCACGGAACTGTACACTTGAAATGGTAAGTTTTGTTACCTATATATTTTACCCTTTTCTGGCATCTTCCCATCTTCCCTAACTCCCCACCACCTCACCCCAGGCCCTAGGCTGCAGTCACAGTCAACTTCTGAGGAAACCACCCTCTCGGGCAAGCTATCCACCTTCCGAGCTTAGCCCAACCCCACTGCTTGGTGGACCCTTCGCAACAATTACCTGTCCTCCAGGAGCCTGGTAGCACTTATCCCACTGTGAACTCTGTGGGGCAGGACTCTGTCTTATTCGTATCTGTGTTTCCTAGCAGAGCATACTCAATATATGAGTGAATAATCTTTTTACTTACACCTTTAACCACCCCCTCCCGCTTGCCACGCCTCTCCCCCCCCACCCCCCAATCTCAACTGTTTCTAAAGTGGCCCCTCCCTCTCCTTTGGTCATCACAGTTACTAAGCTGAAGCTTTCCCTCTGAATGCCCTGCTCCCCGCCTAATAATCCCACCTCTCCATTTCTTCTCTTGTCGACTTCTGTTACCCCTGAAGTGGATCCTTGGGAGGTGCTTCGAGGCACTGCAGGCTCGGGGTCAGAAGAGCTCTCACTTGGGACCTCACTTTCTTCTCCATCTTCAGCCTCAACCTGGAGAACAAAGTCTTCATCCCGTGTGGTGTCATCCTCTCCTCCACCTTGACAGGCCGCCTGCTGCTGGCTTTTCTTCGGTATGGTGGGGCTGCTGTCCTTCGGGGCCTCAGGACAGGACACTGGCGCAGGCATGGCTGTTGAGAGTTCTTCAGCCAGTTCCTGAAGGTACAGAAGTGCCCTGTGGGATGAGGAAGACTCAGAGTCAGACTCACAAACACTTAAGTGAGAGCCCACTTTTCCAGACACTTGGCTGATTCTTAGCTCACGGGATCTCCCCAATGACCTGTAAAGCAGCTATTCATTTCCCCCTCCCCTTTGACAGATGAGGAGACAGAAATCCAGGGAAGTGAAGTGACTTGACCAAGAAGGCTCAGAAAACATGTGGAATCTGAAGCCAGGTCATCTTAGTTCAACTCTAAAGCACTTCTCAGTCAAACAACATTGAGGGTGAAGGGAAGGAACACAGGAGGGTACATATATACTCTTACAACTGGTAAAATGAAGACCTGGAGGAAACTGTGGAAGATGTAAGAGGATACAAGGAATAGAAAGAAACCTCTACGACAGACAAAGTCAGCAACACTCAAAGCTGCGTGGTACAAGGCAGAAGGCTGCTCACGGGGCCCAGACCCAGACACCAGCCCCCATTACCTGGGGCTCCTCAGTCTTCTCATCTCTCCAACATGTGCCCCACCCCGAGCCCTTCACCCCAACCCCCCTTCCACCAAGCTGTGCCCCACAATCCTTACACTTGGGCAGCCCTTCGGCGGGGTCGTTCCCCAGGAGGGGTCTCAAGGTCCTCAGGGGGCCTCTTTGGAGGTGGAGACTCTGGCTGATCTAGGCCTTTTGACAACTTCAGTAGTAGCAGCTCTGCCTTGGACTTTCGACCTCGTTTCTTAGGCATGGGAGTGGGCAGAGGGTTGGATTGATCTAAGAGATCAGGAACCAGAGGGGCTGATGGAGGGTTAGGTTGTTGGGGCCTTGTGGGGCCTTTCCGTGTCCTACCACCTTTCTTCCGGCCAGGCTTTGAGGCCCTAGGCTTTGAGACCTTTGACATCTCTGAAGAAAGATCTGTAGAGAAGAATATGGGTCTGTGAGATGGGACCAACGCTCAAACCTCTTTGGAATAGATAATACCATACCCAGGTCAGCAAGACCCTGTGAGTTCAACCTGTTCTCTTTCATCTAAGAATGGGGAGGGAAGAAGATGAAAGGATAAGACACATACCTTGCTGCTCCAAACTGGAGAGGCTTTCCTGTTCTGCAGGGAGCATCCTCTCATCAAGAGACTCTTCAAATTCGGGCAAAGGGGTAGGTAATGACATCTCTATGGAAGCTTCTGCACTGGTTGTTTCTGAAGAGACCTTGACATCAAGCTGGCTTAGCACCTCTTGTCCAGGAGAGTCTACCACAGTCATGCTCCCCACGGGGCCGGCCTCCCCCAGCGCAACATAGCCGACCCCGCAGGTATCCATCAGCACCCCCTAAAATGGCTGCTCCTGCAGAGATATACAAATGAATAGAAGGCAAAAGCTATTTGCACTGGCTCAGATTCCTCTGGTTTCCTCTCTCCTCCTCTTACTATCCCCTCCAAATCAGAAATCCAAGCTCCTACGACCCTGGTCACTCTTTCATTCAGCAATAATTACTAAGCATCTTTTAAATGTAAGGCACTGTTCTAAGAATTGGTAATATGACAAGACCAAAAAAGTTAGCAGGACCTTCCTGGTGGTGCAAGGGGTTAAAAGCACAACACTGTGAAGTTATCCATAGCCATTGTAGCATGAGTTCAATCCCCAGCCCTGGCCAGGGAGCTGACCCACACGGCACAGCAGACCTATCCTGTCTTGCCTGCTGCTCCCCTCAGCAGTATGTTTCAGTGATCTGCCTGTTCTGTTCCCCACTCTGTCTCTGGTGAATCCTCTCACCCTTGCACCTCTGGTTTGTACCCAGTTCTTGTGTGTATAAATAAATACATCTTTAAAAAAGAGTGAATAAAAGAGTAGCCTGCCATCAAGCTTTCACCTGGGTGAGGGATGTGGTAGACTATGAGGCAGTTAGGGGACATCCTACCACACTGAGAACCTTTCCACACTGAAGAATAAACATGAATTTTCCTCTCCTGATTTTCTTCTAGCCCAGAAAATCAGCTGTGCAACCAAGGACTAAAATAGACTACAGAGATAAACAAAATATTGACCCCCCCCCAAACCAAAAACCTGAGCACAGAACTCTGCAAGTGCCAACTTTTGTCTAAGAAAAAGGGAGGAGAAACAGCTCAAATCCCCGAAGGGAATTCTGCACCCCAATATGTCTAATGTCTGTCTGTGATTTAAAGATAAAGAAGTAATCAGCCTCAGTGGAAAAGTATGCTAATACAAATGCCAAAGGATTATAAACTATAGTAACACCCAACCCTCTAACCCAAGAACGAAGACTACAAAACAGCATCATGTGCTAAAAGACTGAAATCTAAGAAACTAGAGATCAAAGAAAAGATCAAACAAAAGTAAAAAGTTGGTAGTCACACAGAAGAAACTGAGTAAAAGAACAGTCACAGAAATGAAAACCAGAGAAGCCACATATAGAAACTATACTCCTGAAAGGCTAGATCAAGAACCACGTAGATTAAACAGAGATAAAAGTGATTAGTGAGATGATACAGATGGGAAAAACAAGTGGAGAGCCAATATATGCATAACTGATATTCCTAAAGAGAGAGCAGCTTTATTACTTTTTTCACAAAGATGCTCTTCCCAAAGCCAAAACTCTGAAGGCCAAGAAAGCAGTGCTGAGAGGCATCTACAGCACCCCTCCACCCCCAAAGAAAATGAGGATCCACACATCACCCACTTCCTGGGGGTAAAAGACATTGTAGTTCTGAAGATAACCCAAATGTCATGGGAAGAGCACCCCCAGGAGAAACAAGTTTGACCACTATGCCATCAAGATCCCCCTGACCACGTGGGAGAGGATATACCAGAGACAGAGGTGGGGGCAGAAAAGGCAGATTGACTAAAATACACTGCTGAAGGGAGCAAGCAGCAGGAGGGTCAGGAGAGGTCTGTCGCGCCTTGTGGGTCACCTCCCTGGCTGGGGATTGAACTCATGCTGCAGTGGCTGTGGACAGCTTCATAGTGCTGTGCTTTAACCCCTTGCACCACTGGGAAGAACCCAAAAATCTTCATACATTAAATGACTGACATTAGTGTCTCTCAAAGTGTGGTTTCCAGGCATCCTTTGGAAATCTATTGAAATGCAAATATCTAGTCCCACCACAAACTTACTAACTCAGAAACTACCGGGTGCACCCTGTAGTTTTAACTCATCCTTCAGGTCATTCTGATGCATACTCAGTGAGAACTACTTGCAAGTAGGATCAGAGTTGGGGGAAAGTTTAGGAGCAAGTCTAGTTAGATTTTACAGCTGCTGGCTCAAAACCACATGGTCTTTCTTACACCATAATGAGGAGTGACCTGCTGAGTCAAGAGGCCACTGCCAGAGCTGATGGCTCCCTAACTTGCCCCTGCAATAACCAGAAAGCAACCTGCATAAATGGGGAAGACCCTTCTCTGGCTCCGATTCAGAACCACAGTACAGCCACAATCAGCACCAGATTCCTGCCCTCCCTCTTTTCTCTCTATACTCCAGTCTAAGATTGAGTTCTTCAAGAGCACACTCAATGGACAAGATCCAAATAGGATCTAGGCTGGAAATCTAGGATGAAAAAAATGGCAAGAAATGAAATTTCTAGGTTTCTTGGCTTTCATATGGAGACTGCTCATTCTCTCATAGCCCATTTTACACAAGGTAGAAAGTGGGATCACTGTCTACTCAATTCCTCTCTAATGTCACTTCCAAGTCAACAGTGTTTTCTCTCATCAAAACCTTGTTCTTTTAAAGCCCGGAATAGCCCACTGCTATTCACTGACATATGCTGCTTACCATCACAAAAACCCTATTAACCTCCAAAATCACTAAGACAGGACCCTCCCTGGTGGCACAAGGGGTTAAAGTGCAGAACTCCAAAGCTAGCTGCAGCCCTTCAGCATTAGTAAGATCCCTGCCAGGGAGCTGACCCACATGGCATAGCAGACCTCTCCTGTCTCCCCACTGCTTCCCTCAGTAGTATACCTCATCAGTCTGCCTGTTCTGCTCCCCAATCTGTCTCTGGTGAATCCCCTCACTGCCCCTGCACCTCTGACCTGTACCTCAGTTCTGTATGCATAAATAAATAAATCTTTACAGAAAATTACTAAGAAAGCTGAATATCTGATCATTCTACCTAACGCTCAACCATTATCACTGTGTCAATTCTTTAGTCATATTAAGTCACTGTCCATTAATGTCTACAATTTCTCCCTATGTCACCCATAGCCTATCTAGCTTAGGTTTCTTTATTTTAATCAGACCCTTTTTGATACTATGAACTTCCTTTCATTTTTTTTTTCTTTTTGTTTCACAGGCCTCATGAACCAACCATCCATCTTCTCCAAAACACAAGCAATCGTACTTTCTACTTGTCCCCACACCCTCTCAGCTGTAATGTCTGATGCCCTGGTTCTCAGTATTTTACTCTGCCTCTGATACCAAAACAAACCAAACCCATCCAACAGGAAATACTTCTATTTCTTGACAAGTGACCTACCTTTCCTGCCTCTGAACCCTTGGAGCACTTTCCAAGGCCAAACCTTCCACCGGTGCTGTAGGCCCACCGCCCCACTTTTACTGTTCACGGGTTTAGATATGTTTATAGCTTTTATTTTAATACACATACAACTATCCTTTGACCCATATCCCTCCTCCCTCTCTCTGTCAAGCTTCTGAAACAACTGTCTTGATGTTTTAATTACCATTTACTCATCCTAAATAGGAGCTTTCCTTCTAATAATTTTGCTAATTTGGGATGTTACAGATGGCTCTTCAGTCCACCTAAATTTTTCTTTAAGAGAGGCATACTTGGGGCCTCCCTGATGGCACATCGGATTAAAGCAACACTGCAAATATGGCAGCAGCTGCTTTGGTGCAAGCTCTAATCCCGACCTCCCCCCCACCCAAGTGATCTACAGGCACAACAGATGGCTCCTGTCTCCCCCCTGTTCCCCTCAGCAGTGTACTTTGTCAATCTGCCAGTTCTGCTCCTGGCTCTGACTCTGGTGAATCCTCTCACCGCTCTTGCAACTCTGGCCTGCCCCCCAGTTCTGTATACAAAAATAATAAATCTTCACCAAAAAAAAAAAAAAGTGAGCGAGTGATCCATACTTACTTATTTCACATCTATCTTCCCTGAAAGTTTTGTAAGACAGGGATCTTGCCTATCTGATTCACTTTTGTATCCAGAAACTGCTACACAGTGATTGTACTAATTGAAAGCTTATTGGTTGAAGAGCTAACTTCTCAAAACACAAAAATCCCTTCAAGGATTCACTTCTCATCGAAGGCAGCAGCAAGGTGTGGTGATTAATTTCCATTTGCAATTTCACAACACAAAATTCGAACACTTTTAAAGAAAGGGATGTTCAGTATATTTTTACTTGAGTTTATAACATTTTCTATTTGCATCTTAACTTGTCTGGCTCTCATGCTGCTCCAGGCTATCAGCCTGACCTCTCCAGCCAAGAAAAATAATAGATACAGTTTCTTAAGTATGGAGTTACTTTAAATACACCATTTGGTGAAGCACAGTTACCTGAAGTGTTCCTGTAGTACAAATGGTTGTTGATGATTTCAGTGGTACAAAAATGTACATTTTCATGATTGTGCTTTTATAACTAGCCTATGAAACCCAGTTTCATCTATATTGCTTAAATCCACACTAAACCACTTAAGATATTAAAATCAACTGAAAATAAATTACAAAAGGATAGTACAGTTGTAAAAAGGAACAGCAAAAAGTGAGGACAGTACAGAAATTAAAGTTGTGTAACAATGCACTTTTGGGGCAAATAGATTTGGCCATACCTTACAGCCCTGTAACAGTTTGTTATCAGGGTGGGGGTGAAGTCGCCACCTCTGTCTTCCCCAGCAGACAGCCAACTTGCTATGGGATAAAAGGACTAGACAGAGAAACCTAAATGGCCCCAGGCTGAGGCAATGGGGTTGCAACGCTCGGGACACAACCCAAGGGCTAGAAGAATCAAGTTCAGGAAGATGTGGGACGCAACAGAAGACTGACCCGTGACCACTCTAGGGGTGATCGCCTGCTCATCCTCAGTCCTGGGCGCGGGCGCAACTTTCACTACTATCTTGTGCAGGAGACTAGCCCCCAATTTTCGAAGACTGAGAACTACTCTAGTTTCACAGAGTCCAAAGAACGCAGTGTCAGCAGCGCCCGGCCGGGACACAGGATGCAGTGTTAGGGACACCGCGTGGAGGAAGAAGGCAAGACCTGTAGATAGCAGAGATGAGGGATGCACGGTTGCCACCGTGGAGAAGGAGGTGGGGAGCATGATGCTTTCTGCAGCAGCGCAGGGACTGGGAGTCGCGATGATGTGCAGAGAGGGGACGGCGGACCCGGCAGTTGGTTCCCACTATCTTAGTGCTACCCAAAAAAAGCGGGTGGGGTCATAGGGGGGGCCCCCAGCACACCCCGCTGCGGCACACTCACCCTCACCGAAGTCCTTCCGGAAGTCCAAGTTCGAAGATGGCGCCGCCTGTCTGGTCGCGGTTTTATGACGAAATCCGGTAGCTACGTCTCATTGACTTTTCCTGCAGCTCCACCCTCCAGTGTACTAATTAAACACGTGGCTTGGTCGGGCGTTTGTGCCCCGAGACGCTTCTATTAGACTATGTATTCCATAATGCAGTGCGGCGACGGTTCCGAGCCTCTCCTAGCGGGCCAGGCTCCAGGGCTTCAGCGGCGCCGGGGACGCTGCGTGGCCTTCTGGGAGTTGCAGTAGCCAGAAAGGAGGACTGACGCCTGCGCCGTGACGGTCGTTGCGCCCCAGCGGGCGGCCTCTGCGCGAGCCTCGCGTATACGAGCACCGAATCCTCGAGATTCGCTGAGACCACAGACGTGATGGCAGGGCTAGGCTGGATGGAGTCTCTTTACCCAAAGCCAAGCGCGCTCCTATCCGAAAACAGAGACCCGGAGACAAAGGAGTCCGTCCAAAGGAGTCCGCTACCGGATTCTGGTCTCCACGACCGGGCAGTCCTTGCAGATCCAGCTACCAGAGAATCCAGGATCAATGAAAAGGGGCTTGGAAAAAGGACAGGGAAAGGAGCAGAAGTAGAAAATCTAGCGTAGGGGCCTCCCTGGTGGCGCGAGGGCGCAAGCTCTTGTATGCATAAGTACAATTGGGGGTGGGGTGGGCGGGATCGAACGCGGGATCGAACTCGTGGCGTAGTAGCTGGTGATAGCTTAAAAGCCCTGAGTCTTTAACTCCTGCACTACCAGAGAGGCCCCACAAAACATTTTTTTAAAGCTTGGGAGGAGGTAGATTAAAAGGGATAGGAGTGTTTAAAATTGGGAATTCAAGAGCTCTTATCTCACCCCCCTTAAGTGACAAAAAGACAAACTACTATTGTTTAGGAGCTTTTGTGAAAACACAAAATTGGGTGGAGGCTGCAGTTCCCCTAATACATCATATTTTGTATCTTTTTTTAAAGATTTATTTCATTTGTGCTTACAAGAGCTGGGGTGTAGACCAGACGTGTGAGGGGTGAGAGGAGTCAGAGACAGTGGGTAGCAGAACAGGCAAATCTACTGAAATATACAGGAGATTAGAGGAGAGGTCTGCTGCACCATATGGCTTAGCGAATTAGTGCTGAAATGGCTGCTGATAGCTTCATAGTGCAGACTTAACCCGTTGCGCCACCAGAGAGGCCCATTATTTTATATTTGAAATGCTTGTCTGATGGACAGCTTTCAGCCTCAAATATTTGTCTGTAATGAACAAATCTGTTTTTCTAGTCCTGTTGCTTTAGAGTAGGCTACCTTGACTTTACTGTAAAATATTTTATATTAATAATTTTAAAATAATACATTAACATTGTACAAATTTAGAAAGTAGAAAGTGAAGACTCCCAGTTTTCAGCGTGTAGACCACATGCAGGTAATTAGTTTATGGCAGGCCCAAGATATTATTTGTATTTGTAGACTAATGTGCATATGTCTATCCTTCCCCTTAATTCAAAAGACAACTACACACTATCCTGCACCCATTTTTAAAAAAAGATTTATTTTTATTTTTGCATACAAGAACTGGGGTGTAAGCCAAGTGTAGGGGAGGAGGGGAGTGGATTCACCAGAGACATAGACAGGAGAGGTCTGCTGTGCCATGTGGGGTGGCTACCTGTCTGGGGATCTACCTCATGCTACAGAGGTGATAGCTTGATAGATGAGTTTTTAGCCCCAGCATCACCAAAGAAACTCTGCACCTTCTTTTTAAGGTTTTCTTTTTTTTTGCCTTAGAGTTCGTTCCATTTATATACATAATAAACTTTTCTCATTCTTTACTATAAGTATTTATATATAGCATAATTAGTTCCTTACTAATATTTAGGTGGTGAGGCCTCCCTGGTGACGCAGGGTTTAGTCTCAGCCTTATCAAAATATAGCTGCCACCGAGACATAAACATGAATTCCATCCAGATCCAGGGAGCTAACCCATGTCCACCACAGTGCTCTCCTGTCTTGCCTGCTACGCCCCTCAGCAGTGTATCTCAGTGGATCCACCTGTTCTGCTCCCCACTGTCTCTGATGAATCCTCTTACCCGACACCCTGCCCCCCAGCTCTGGCTTACACCGCAGTCTTTGTATGCATAAATGAACAAATCTTTGGGAAAAAAATTTAGATGGCTTCCAGTGTTTTACAATTACAGTGTTACTATAAATAACCTTGTATCTTCAGTTACTTCAAATGTGCCACTGTTTGGTTAGCATAAATTCCAAGTAGCAGAATTATTGGATCAAAGTGCATTTGTACTTGTGATTAACAAGCAGTAGTTTAACTGTTCTAATTCCCTGCCTCTAACCTCTACCACTTAGTTACCTTTCTAAAGCATAGTGCTGACCAGGCTGAATCTCCACTTTATTTTGATGATTGAGATGTTCAAAATACAAAAAACAAAAACAAAAAAACAGGAGTTCATAATATTTTCAGAAGAACCCTTCCTCCCCCCCAATAAAATACTACTTGTGATATGCCCCTGAGGTAAAGTGATCAATTAGCAAATAAAATAAGCAAGTATTTATCCTACCTTTCCAAGTTTGAGTTGTAATTCAAAATAATAGCTGACAAGAGGGAATTCTTCATAGATTATCAGCTAGTGAATGTGCAAAGAATAAGAGGATGGGGGAAGGAGAATCACCATTTTGTGCCCCATCATGAAATAATTCAGTCAATAAACACCAGTGGATGAAACCACCAAGTGAAAGCTTGTCAGGAAACTCAAATGCCTGGCCCTGAACCCACTGGAAATGAAACAACCGTTATTTGCCTCCTGGTGTGAAGCACTATGAAATACAGCACTACTTAAGTATTCTTGCCAAAAAAAAAGTTAAATGGAAATTCGGGGGTGAGAGAAATGAGTTAAATGACACAAGGAAGTAAACCGTGACACTCAGAACAGGGAACTTATTTATAAGACAGTCAGCCTGGTTTCTGGAACAAGTTTGATGCCATGGGGGAAAAAAGGATAGGTTGGGAGACTGCTTTTGATTTCAGTAAATTTAAGACATTGTCATCAATTAAGAATTGTGAATTTGTTTGGAGCCTATTCAAATCAACTATAAGAAACTTTATAACACAGTCAATATGTGCTGTGTTTGTAAGAATGTTATGTCTGGGATTTACTCTATTATCAGCAAGTTAAACAATTAAATAAAAGCTAATGTGAGAATTGGCAAATTACTGCATCTGGTGATAGGGATTTTTTAAAAAGATTTTTTTTCTATGAACTGGGGTATAAGGCAGAGGTGCAGAGGTTGGGGGAGAGAAGGTTCACCAGAGACAGAGTGGGGAGCAGAACAGGCAGACCTATTGAAATACGCTGCTGAGGAGAGCAGCGGGTGAGACAGGAGAGGTCTGCTGTGCATTGTGGGTCAGCTCCCTGGTCAGTGATCTACTGGTGGGGCAGTGGCTGGTGACAGCTTGATAGTGCTGAGACTTAGCCCCTGTGCCAATAGGGAGGCCCCAGATTCTTTGTATAGTTCATTCTGTGAGATTTTAATAAAACACCCACATGTATATATACACACAAAACAGACAGCTCCATTTTCCCTAGCTAACCACAATGATTAGACTCTCACAATCTACCTGCCTTTGCTGCTTTATCACATGTGCTCCAGATGAGCCTCACCAACCTACTAGACACTTTGGAACTTGCCACTATTTTAAGCCTATTCTGGCTTTGTGGTCAAGTTATTTCTTCTGCTGATCTGTTTTACATTACTTTTTAAAAAATTTTGTTCCATGAGGTGAAACAGTGTAATACCAGGTGGGTGCATGGAGTAGACAGAGCAAGTTTCTATTCCATCTCCCTGCTCTGAAAATCCACTTAATGTATTATCCTCAGAGGACACATCAGATATTAAACTGATCAGAATAGATACTACACTTGCTCTGGGAAGTGATGACTTTCCATTCATTTCCAACTGGAAAAGATGTTACATGTGAAGTCTTCAACCTCGTAAGATCTGGCATCATCCTTGGAAGGAACTTCAGTCACACAACAAGAAATTTATTTCATACTATAGACATCATCTGTCTACCTCCTCCAACAGTGCTCCTTAATGGCAGCTAGCATAAGAAACTATTAAGCGCACAGTGTCTGGATCCAGAATGCCGAGATCACACACTGGCTTAGTTACTAATATCACAGACCTCTGTATTTCATTCTACTACTGCCCGTTATACCTAGCTCAGGGTTTGGAATACACAGATGTCCAAAGGTTGATGGTTTGGATAGTTTTTTGACCTTTGACCCAAAACACTCACATGGAACTAGACGCCTGAGAGGATCTCCACAAAGGTCTGAAGCTGGAAGCAGATGCTAAGAGGTGTTGGAAGTCTAGATTCCTAACATAAGTAGTGGCGCTACTAAGAGATACAAAGGCAGCAGAGTTGCTGAACATAGGGAGTATGTAATTTATTGGGCCTGTGTCCCCTCATTTACTGGTCACTGCTTTTGACTCGCAGAACAACAGGTACAGAGCTGCAAGGGATCATCCCCAGCTCTGTGATCACCAGATCCACCAGCTCGGGGGGAGTCACATCATAGACCAGATTCAACAACCGTAGGGACAGGTGGTTTTGCCAGTTAGCCAGGGCTATGTGCTCTCCTTGCTCACACAGCAGATCGTCAGGGTCATCTGCAATGACAGGGGCACCCAATGATGTCCTG